AATAAAAGCATCAAATCATCTTCAATTAATCCTACTTCTTTTTCAAGTTTTGTTGTGCCACTGAGATTCAGGTTGATGCCATAGATCGTATGCTAATTCTAAGTCATTTTTCACACCTGCTCTTCTTTCCTTCGAGCTTAAATAACGCTGTCAGAATCCAATCCGGTGTAAAGAATTGATTGACGAAATAACAACAGACCAAACAATAAAATATGGGAGTGGTTCATGGAACGGCAGGCTTAGATTAAATTGTTCTTTATATCAATTTAGGGAATTCTGGAGCACGCATTGTGTTTGGTTTGAGAGAACGGGGAATAAAAAATTCGCTCTTGACAACTGAGTTTTTTCTTTAAACCTATAAAAAGTGCTGAGTGTGTATTTTGTGAAAAGAGGTTTAAAATAAATTGGCAAGACCTGAAAACTTTGAAAAATAATAAAATACGAATATTTCTCAAAGGACCACAAAGCGTGTATTTGTACAGTCTGTCGATTGTAACATTCGGGTACATCTTTGATTTCAGTATGCATTCTGTATTGCCTTCGTCTTAACTCAGTAACAAAAAAAAAGCGTCTAAGCTCATAGAAGTGCATTTTTTTCTTAATAACACACCTCTTTTATTATTATAAACATAAATATATTTTCCTAATTATTAATTAAAAATGACTTTTGACGCTGCGAAGCCTAACATGATTACACTGGTCGAAGATTATGTTACATCAATTTCTCCAAATCAATTAAAAGAGCAGAGCGATTTAAAATCGATTTATGTAACATGCTTTTCCTTCCTTGCCACGAAATACAGACAACAGAATTTTGTTTTACTTTCCCAGCTCCCTACAAGACATCCAGGTCATTCCACGAAATGACACTTAGGCATTCATAGGCCTGGTAGATAGCCTGTCGACATTTTATTTATTTATAAAGTCGAAAGACAATCCTAATAATAAATTACTTTAAGCTAATGTAGGAAAGATTTTGCAAAATTACCGCGTATACTTTACCTGCCTACAATGAATATTTCTTACATGTTTCATATCCTGTAATTAAATTCTCTCTAACTATTCGACAGCCACAGATCTTCTTTCAAAGCAACATCCTTTCTTTTGCATCGAGGACCCCACGGGCAGTGAAAGGATCTGGCTGTTTAGAATAACAGCAATCATTCACTCTTTTGCATCGAGGACCCCACGGGCAGTGAAACGATCTGGCTGTTTAGAATAACAGCAATCATTCACTCTTTTGCATCGAGGACCCCACGGGCAGTGAAACGATCTGGCTGTTAGAATACATCAATATTCCTCTTTGCACAGAACCCACGGCATGAAACGATCTGGCTGTTTGAATAACAGCATCATTCACGCTTGCATCGGGACCCCACGGGCAGTGAACGATCTGTCGTTTAGAATAAGCAGCATCATTCCTCTTTTGCATCGAGGACCCCACGGGCAGTGAAACGATCTGGCTGTTTAGAATAACAGCAATCATTCACTCTTTTGCTCGAGGACCCCACGGGCAGTGAACGCCTGGCTGTTTAGAATAACAGCAATCAGACGGTCTTTTGCATCTAGGACCCCCGGGCCAGGCAGTGTGTCTGGCTGTTTAGAATAACAGCAATCATTCCTCTTTTTGCACGAGACCCCACGGCATGAACGATCTGGCTTTTAGAATAACAGCATCATCACTCTTTTGCATCGAGGACCCACGGCATGAAACATCTGGCTTTTAGAATAAAGCAATCATCACTCTTTTGCACATCGAGGCTCCACGGGCGAGTGAAAACGATCTGGCTGTTTTAGAATAACGCAATCAGTCACTCTTTTCATCGAGGACCCCGGCATGAAACGACTGGCTGTTTAGAAAACAGCTCATTCACATCTTTTGCATCGAGGACCCACGGGCATGAACATCTGGCTTTTTTAGAATACATCAATCATTCACTCTTTTGCATCGAGGACCCCACGGGCAGTGAAACGATCTGGCTGTTTAGAATAACAGCAATCATTCACTCTTTTGCATCGAGGACCCCACGGGCAGTGAAACGATCTGGCTGTTTAGAATAACAGCAATCATTCGCTCTTTTGCATCGAGGACCCCACGGGCAGTGAAACGATTTGGCTGTTTAGAATAACAGCAATCATTCACTCTTTTGCATCGAGGACCCCACGGGCAGTGAAACGATCTGGCTGTTTAGAATAACAGCAATCATTCACTCTTTGCATCGAGGACCCCACGGGCAGTGAAACGATCTGGCTGTTTAGAATAACAGCAATCATTCGCTCTTTTGCTTCGAGAAACTCAAAAATGAATGTATGTTTTATTCCGGGCCTCTTATTTGTCAGTTTTTCGCCGTTCGACCGAAGCTATGCATCTTCAAACCAAACTACCACATTTCCTTTCAACGAATCAAAACAAAACAATTAGTGTTATTTTAGCCTTCCTTGAAATGAGATTACAACATAACGTTTTCTAATGTTATACATTTCTTAACTCATCTGTATATTTCATTGCATACTTAGTCCGCAAATCTTCGCGATGAAAATTGATGCTGATGCATACCAAAGAAGAAATAGTTCACGGAATGAATAAGGCTGATAATACACGTATTTTTATGAACATAAGAGAGCAAATCTTTCGCATGTAGGAAAACACAATTACTAGTGTCTAAGAGGATATCTATTTACTCATGTTTTATGGGTACATGAGGTGGATATGTGGATATGTGACATCTCGAAATATGATTCTCTCTTTACATACGCATATATAAAAAATCTTAACATATGCTTTCAGTTAGCGTTGACCACAATGCATATGAAGACGAATGTTTTATCATGATACATGTCCTGAAGATTGATTGGAAAAATATTCAAACTCACTCAGGGATCTTTATGAATGCAGCATCCTCGCTTGGGCACATCAGTTCATCAGCATCCGTAGCAAAAATGCATAGCGTGGCCACTGCAATGACTTTATCTCGAAATTCGAGAATTATATTAGTTAGGATAACATTTCGAATATGTATTTTTGGGTGTCACAGACTTTAATTTGCAAAATGTCATTCCTTGTTGTTGTTATGCAAAGAATATGAAATTTGTTGTATATCCTTACCTGCATATTCCGCAGCAGGTTCATATCATATGAGCTCAATCAGATACTCCTAGAAAATTGCTACTGTTTGGGCCTATTCATGTAAATCATATAGGAAAAAGTTACAGGAGGCACAAAATTGTGTCCTAAGACAGATCACCATCTCGCCCAGGTACGTTCAAAATCAAAAACTTTATCGTGAATTATGCATTGAATAACTGAAATATTTTATGGCCGGCTTGCCCGGAATTTTTATACTAATCTCCCAAGTATCAACAACCCTGATGTGAATGACCCAAATAATTTAAAACAGCCTATTGCCATACTTGGAGCACATATTATTTAAATTGACCTGTATTGTACATTTGTGACTTATGTTATAATTTAAGTGCACCAGTTGACTCACACTACCTGCATTGTATGTGTGTATTATATGCATCACTAGACTTAGGTTAAAGCCAGCTGGTTTTCCCTTTCACAGTTGTCCCAGATGGCATTTTGGGGTCTTCATTGGAACTCGGCGCACACACTTTATTTCTGCCATAATTACCAGTTATCTCACCCTCCTTTTACTCAAAAATTATAACGTAATAATTTAAAAATATATTTTATGTTAGTTACTCATGACAACATTCGAAACAACCCACAAGAGTCCTTAACCCAGGCACACTGGTGCTACACCGCTTCCATCTGTGTGTGTACTGTTGTAATTATTTTAATTTGCAGCAAACTTCTTTTTCCTTGTGGTGAATTTAATATCTTCACTATAATGTTTGGGATTGAGTTGAGTCTTAATCCTTATTTAGTTTACAAAGTTGGAAAGTAATTGAAAAAAAAAAAAAGAAGAATTTTGAAAATATTGTGCAAAATTTTGGAAAAAACGGGTACTTGTTTAGATTTATAGAACAACCGAGAAAATATGTTCTTATGTTTATGGGACTATGCAATAGATATTTATCCTTTCCACTAGCAAACACATTAGTATGATAAAAACCCTCATTACTGAACTTGTCATACTATTTTATTTAGATGTGTTAAAGCTTGCTAAAATGAAATGTATTCGAGCTCAATGAAAAAGATTATATTTTACGAAACAGAAAAATATTGATATACTTTTAAATTTTTTTGCAAAATAATGTAGTCTACTATTTAGATTGATGGGAATCCTTTCAATAAACAAATGAAGTATTCATATAAAATTTTCCATTTGCCATTTTCAAAGGCCGTTAGTAATGGTGTTTTTCATTGTGTAAATTTAATCAAGCATCGAAAGCTTTGAAATCACAATAATAATAAAATGTTTGATAATAAAATGTTTGAAAACATTTTTAAAAATGTTGAAAAATATTTCATGAATAATAAACTTGAAATTGATATTCGCAATGAAACTAGAATAATAATCCACTTGTGACTGTGAACGTAAAATTGAAAATATTCATTTTGATTTTCTAATAAGATATATATAAACTTCTCAGTTTCATCTTTTAAGATTATTGGTAAAACCTATATCATTTATCTACATTACTGCATAACACTTTTGTCATTTCATTGAAATTTATTTCTTTTCGTAAATCGATATTAATTCTTGTAATGAAAAAAACATTGTCTAAATTTTAGAAGTCCTTATTTTACTTTATTGAGTCAAGTACTGTAGAACATTGCAGTATGCACTTTGTTCGCCACCCACCCACCCCCAATCAGTAGGATGTATTACGATGACGAGCACCTGTTCCACTTGATCCAAAGGACAATCTGCTCTGTCGACAGGAAAAGAAAAATAATTCTTCTTTTTGATTTTTAATGCAGTTCAAAACATTTTGCAGCCTGACGCATAATAGAAAAAAATTAAGTAATTAAATTATTTCTTTTATTTCTTGAAATGTTTATTTTAATTACCAAAACAAATACAGAACTTCTCGTGTACCCTGACGTATTTCATAAGGCTTACAGATATAAGTAAATAACTCAGAATACAAGAGGATACAATCCAAAAATCAGAACATAATATCGGGATCTGGAAAAAGCAAAGAAAAATATAAAATACAAATACTATTATAATTAAAATACTAAAATATACCATGAATAATTAAACTACATAAATACTAATATAAAAGAAAATAAACGCAAAATAACACAATGACATATAAAAGATTAAGATCCATATAAATATTAATAGTAAAAGTTCAAACAACATACTGCAAACGCTCCCAAGCATCTAACAAGATCATAGAAAACAGGAGGCCAGGAAACAGGCAGTTTCCCTAAATTCACTTTAAATGCACTTCTGGCACTCGCATGCGAACTACAATGTAATGAAATATGTTCCACATCTTCCATAGCATCACTGCAAGCACAGAGTCCACTAATAACCATATGGAAACGAAGTAAGTAAATTCCTAAAATTTCCATATTCTAAAATTCCCATGAGTCTTTTAATTATAATATGAACAATAATTAAAATTCACTTAGCACTGCATAATAAGCACACCCCGGAAGCCCATGACGGTCTAAGGATCTAAGGACGGTCTAAGGATATTATTTAACTTATATGATAAAGGATTGTTAAATATATCTATATATAAATATTTCAATACGTTTAAAATACATCAATGCAGATAATATATACTTTAAAGCACCCTGGAGGCCACGGACTAGAAAGCAGATATCAGGGCACTGGCCGGCCATGGTTCTGTACGGATTATAGCGCCCATGAGTTTAGTTTTAGTTTTTAGTTTAGCTCAATGCTGTATTTCCCTCATCTCATCTGTCTACTGTTAAGTAAAAAATATTGAATTCGGATTCGTCTGTAAATATAAAAGAATTCCAAAATTTCTGACGCTCAGTAATGCAGAGCACAGCGAATTCTAATCCAGCCTTTCTATTCGCTTCGTTGATGAATTGCCGTTTCCTACATAATCGACCACGAAACTTGTATTTTTTTTTTCAAAATATTTCTCATGTTTGTTTTTAACAGTGATAGGCTGTATATATTTCGTTCATGAATCGAAATTTAATTTCATTACTCTTATTTTTAGATTCCAAAAAAAGTATCGTCATGGCATACGTTTCGTGTCCAGTGAATCACATTGAAATGTATCCTCAAAATTCGAATTCAACTCTCTCTGACTTTCTGTATTTTGAGCTTATATTGCGGGCAGTATGTTTTAGCATTGCATTCCGAACCAATTATTTACGATGGCATTGTGCCAAACTTTCTTTCCATTCATAATCCCAGTTTAGTTGCGAACATTAAGCACTGAACTAAAACAAATATCTTTTATATCGCAGTTTCAAATTCTGCAATGCTTGGTATAGTACGACCGTCTCAAACGGAATCTTTGTTGGCATTCTGCCAACACACAGAGACTCGTCCAACTTGCTGCGACGTTAAAGGTCAGGTGAAAGTCTTCCCTTCTGCGGAAAGAGATAATTATGTGGTCGAGGGAAAGAAAGGTCCCATCCTTCCACACTATTTTGAGAATACTTCGGTCCTAATGGCGCATGCGTGTTTGCGCTCATGGTGGGAGATGAGGCGGTCAAACTATATTACATCACACCTTTTCTAAAATGCCCCTGTGCTTATTTTATTCTTAAACATTTCACTTAAAACATAAGATATCTGACATTTCTTCTCAATTTAAGTATGTAATTACATAATTTACATTGTTTCCTCAAAAATTATACGATGCAAAAAATTGATTAAAAATGCCTTGCGTTCCAGTACATTTTTCATTCGAATATTAAAACAAACATGTTTCCTACTTGCAGAGGGAAACATAATAGTGGATATTAATTGGATATTTAAAATCATTAACTTACTGGTATTTACTACAATAGACTACCCGTATGCCTTAAGACTCTTTCTATTTGTCACGTATTATGCACAAATAAACAAGAGTTCTAAACGTTCAGGTGAAGGCAGGAAATAGAATGATGACAACAGAGCAAACATACTCATGACACTACAATACATAGGTGATATTTAACCTGGAACAATACAATCCTTAGAGAGATTTCCCCAACCGGAAACAACGCAATCTCTTTTTTAAATACATGAGGGACATGCTCTATCATAAATTTGGAACAGTATGTCTGTCACATGCATAACCGCGTTAAAAATTATGTTCCAAGAATTCAGATAAATCAAATTATCCTTCACCCTGTGAGACGAAAACATCTTTGGATCTAAAAAATAATAGGTAAGATCGGCCGGGAACCTAAATATTCTTGCAAAATTTAGAAATTGTACGTGTAAATAATATTGATTTCCATTTTTTTATCTTTTGCTCAGGGCCGTGCTGAGATGTTGTCTCGGCGGAGATAAAAAGATAAGTTCATGCTTCTGTATGCAGTCAAATTAATTATAATTGTACATTTTCAGGTTTTTTTCTTTTCGATACTTAAAGTCAATTATTTTCAATCATAACTATCTTAAATCTTGTAATATTTTATGGTAGCTTTATATTTTCAGAAAAGTGATATAAATAAATTTTTACGATATTTAAATCGAAACTGTACCTTTTTTGATAAATAGAATATAATTCTGACAAATGTGTTTCCTAGGCAAGTGTAGTCTATAAAATTCATGACCGCAAATGTAAATCAGATTGAATATCTTCGCATTCAAAAATTCAAAAATGAACATTAGAGTTAAAAACTGTGTAAAGTATTGTAACAGTAATGCACTTTTGAGAACAAATTAATATCACTAAATATTACCTGCATTCTTTGTTATTCAAATTTCGTCTTAGTCCCTTTCTGGAAGTTAATGAAAACTGGCAATATTTATTATACATTAATTAATTTATGATTGTTAACAAACTTGACAAATAACATTAAGTGACAAATAACTAAATTTAAAATTGGCATTATTAATAAATAAAAAATTTAAATTGCAAACTAAATTAAGAATTATTAATTAAATTAATATTATTAACATTATTGTACATTAATTACCACAAGATTATATGTTCATCAGGTTTATCGTTGCAGAAGAAGTGAAAACTGCCTAGTGTCCTCTCCAGAATTCGAACTCCGACCGTCCGGTCTAGACGGATGTGCTATCCAGGTATACTATGCAGATATGCGGTAAGAAAGGAGAAGATATCTTATAGGAAAATAAAGCAAATCAGTTCATTTATAATACATAAAATAATACGTCGCACAAGTATTTATTTAGAATTCAAACAACAAATATCAGCGTTTTATTTACAAATTTTGAAAGAAATTACCAGAATCACCTATTACTGAACGATTCTTTAGTTACTAACTACAGAAATTCTTCTTAATCCCTTTCAGGGAATTAATGAAAACTGGCAATGTCTATTATACATTAATTAAATTATCATTGTTAACAAACTTGAACAAATAACATTATTAACTAAATTAAAAATGGCGATGATTATGATGAATTTATCTTGCAACAATTAAAAAATAACTCTTTGTCACAACTGTTCACACAACGTGGATTGGTAATGACTGTTTCAGCACCATTAAGGATGCACCAGTTCGAAATGCACCAGCACACCTATTACCAGCTCGAAAATTCATAATTACTGCCCTACAGGTCTTTAACGACTCTAATCCTTTTAACACCTATGGACAAACATTATAATAGATTTCTGGGCCTATATTTCTAATTATTTCTAGTGTCTACGGTATTCATAAGACTTATCAAGAAACATTTTTGCGAGTAAAATACGAAAGGTTTTGTATTTTGTTTCAGAAAATGTGTATAGAGAAAAATATTAACACCCATTTTAAAGATATAAAACATCAAAGAGAGACTGAAAGTTTTTTCAATCTCTGTCTCTGATGCTTTTCAGCTTCGAAGTGGGTTTCGGAAATTTCACTTTACAAATTTTCTGGTTAAGACAAACCGATTTAGTCAACCGTTTAGCCTTGTGTATAAATGCTTTGACATATATTTGGATGCAAAAACATGTGTCATAAGTATTGATCATCATAATTTTGCAATACAATACGTTAAATCCCAAATGTGGAGTTTTATCTTAACAATAATGCTCATATTTATGTATGATATTTTTTGCTTTACAAAAGAGTTAAAATTTTAGTTTCCTTTCCAATACCTCGTTCTTCTCATTTACGTACACTCAGTCCATACGTGCATATCTTAATCACTAAAAGACAAACAGGACTCAATGTATGATTAATTGACATCATAGGTTTTATTTATGAAATTTGACTTATTCGAGCTAACTTCATTTGATATTTAATAAGATTTTGAGTAAGTTTAAACCTTAGCAGCTATGAAATATTAAGAAAAAGATTATATTTTCAGATTAAATTTAATTAATTATCAAACTTATTTTAGAAGTCTAGAGACCAAGTAAACATGTCCCTCGACTTGTTTAGGTGTATCATAATGTGTACATGTAGATTTATTATATGTGTAATTTGTACATTCTCTATCGGACTACAAGTTTCAGGAATTTATTTGCACATTTGTGAAACGTAGTTAAGGTTTAGATTAAATTCCAGTTATTTACTTTACAACTTATATCTTGTTTCGAATTTGATTAATGGTCTGAGGGAATAGTTCACCAAAAAAAAAAAGGTAAGAATAAGTATTAGGCTAATAGTAGCGAGAAAGGCGTAAGGTAACAGAAATTATGTGTCGTTAACATTGAAACAGGAAATATTTTTATACCAAAAACTGGCATATTTGATATGAATTGTTCAATAGATAATAATGGCGCAGTGTTACTAACAAAGTTCTAAACGTCGCATCTAAATTTCTATATGTGTGGTTCAGTGGTATATCTAAATCAACAGTCAATCTAGTTTAAAGGAATTTATTAAAACACCAAAACACATAAATCTAATCTCGAATCAGTTTGACATCTCATCTGTAGCATTCCAGCTACATCAAACAAACCGAAAGCAAGTTCTAAAGTTCAAACTGTTGCCATTTTAAAGTTATCTAAAACAAGGTGCTTCTACTGATTTTCGCGTTGCTATTCAGAGAGAGAAAAAAACCGTCTATTCAAACAACAGCACGTATAAAAATTTTATTTTGCCATTTAAAAATATAAAACTGAACGATTCTTTAGTTACTAACTACAAAAGGAATCTATTGTAACCAACTGGCTCAAGAGCCCAAAATTGGCACGACGAGTGAGCTCAGGCTTGCGTTAAGAACCATATGCTAATTTCTCAACCATTAATCACGAAGCTAAATTATTGTAATGGAAAGCAAGTACAAAACATTATCTGTGCAGAAACTAAACAATATCAAAAGTCGGAGAAATGTGTTGTTGTTGCTTATTCACACTTGTTTGATGCAGTCAGCCCAAGTCCACAAAATTCCTCTTGGCAAGGAGCTCTAAATTACGCCTGCTGTTGACAGCAGCCTTGAGCATCATTCAGATGAGAGTGCAATTTAGATCAGTTCCGACGCCAGTTTTGACAGAGAGCACCCCGGGGGGACGGGTTAGAGAGTCTCCTCTTCCACCAAACCACACAAGAGGACTTTCGTCTCGCCGCATATTTAGAGTGCCACCATACCGCACCGACACTATACATTTACAAACATCCGTGCCTTCTCCGCGATTCGAACCCGGGCCCTTCGGTACGACAGACAGAGACGCTAACCAGTATATCAGTTGGACGACTGAGAAATGTGTAGATAGATGAAGGGCATTATCAAACGTCATTACTCGCCTTTAGCTGCTGTTGATCTTAGTCAGGTACCTTTACTCACTTCAAAGTGTTACATAACTTTCAATGCTATTTGCTGTTTTTTCCATGCTATGACAATTTAAAACATAAAAACTTTAAAACATATGCAATTTTCAATGGTGCATAAACGTTTAATTATGAGCACTAAACTTTATTCTCAGTTTAACAATTTTTAATGGAATACTGAGTTCTGAATTCTATTTATTGTAAAAAAATAGGAAAATAACTGAACTAGTAGCATAGATAAACAGAAGTCTAGTAAAGATATACAGAGACTTCCTACAGAGATTCTTTCTCCCAGATGTTCCTTATACCATTGAAGTATAGTACAGCATGGGAGACCTGTCTACTAAGACAGTATGCAACATCTGAGATTCTGAGGAAAACCATAATCCACTCAGGGAAGGCCAATAAAACATCTATGTAGAAAACCTGTCCGTGAATATTCAAAATTCCATTGCACTATCATTTTTTTTTTTTTTTTTTTTTCATTTGCAGTTTAAACTAGGCTGCTGTCGAGATGGGCTTTGTTTAGCACTAAATTTAAGACAGAGTTTACAAGAACGCTCAAAATGTAGTTCAGTGACTGAAAAGTATTTTCTCTTGTGATTTAAGATATAAATCCACTTATTATAAAAAGCAGAATTACTGAGTTCAGAACCTGAATCCACTATAAATGCGAAAATAAAAGTTTTGAAAACCGTTTCATATATTAATATTCATTTATTTTTTTAACATTCTGAGCAGCACAATTTTTAGATCTGTTCTCCAATAGCTAGATTTAAACAGCATTTATTAACTACAGTTTTGAAATTTCTTAAATCAGTTTTCATTTTTTTTTAAATTTTAAGTTATTTAGGAGGATATTTAGTTCTTCACAAGAAAATACACATTTTAAATAACAAGGTAATGTACACCACGTGAAACTAAAATCTAAGGTTGAATAAAAGCGGTTATTTAGGTGGGAGGATTAACTAATTTAAAGAAATTACTTTTAAATAATCGTTATACCTTTTAAATTAGATTTTGTAAAATGAATCACGTTATTTGGCTGAAAGAAACTGCCTTCACGAAACGTTAATGTAACTCAAGATTTTAATATTTGTTATTAAGAAATACCATTTTTAATATTAATAAAACGTCTTTAAATAACTATCTAGATGTCGTAAATACTTTGAAGAGTTTAAAATTTGGTTTTCTTGAGATTTTAGAATCTTACCTTTGAAATAACTTGAAAAATTATTTTATAAAAGAGATTTCAAAAGTTCGGAGAAATCAAAGTGTGACCAATCGTCAGCCTCCTGCAAACTATCAACGGACCATTTCTTTTAACTTAACTCTTCAACTGTACGTCTTCGAGTTCAGCACAGCAGCAAAGAGGATGATAAATCGTCGCACAGGGGGGGATTGAGGGAGAGATAGGTAGTCCTCTCCGACGATCCGAATTTCGAAAGATTTATTCCTGCCAATGGGAAGCTAGCTCTCTGGGGGAATTCAAGCTGACGACTTGATTGAGCGCTTGAAGAGCCTTTCCAAAGAGTTGGTGATTTTCGCTAGTGTGTGCGTATCTAAAGCGATATATCAGTGAGAAGAATGCTTTAGAATTACTGATCCCAAATAAAAGGGCTTGTCAGTGCGTGTACGTTTAAGTCAACTAGCCGGGAAATCTAAGAATAAAAAAGAGCTGAAACACCGTTACCTTTGATGATTTAAAACTGAGGTTTTATTATTTTATGTAACTCTAGAACATTGACTTGTTTATATATTGACTGTGCGTCATTTTTAAAATAATTACTGTATGGAAGTGTTAAATATTCAGAAATATGTTGTCATTATAGACTTTGCATAAACAGAGAATATACTCTCTGCACTCTTGAATATAAAATTTTGTGGGATAACTTTTACTTTCACTTCATTACCAGAGCACTTCAAATCACACTAATAAAATCGCATATAACTATATACATATATAATTATATATATATACCCAAACTCTTACCCGGCTTAAATAAATCTTTGTTCGGACTTTATTTTTGGAATCGTTCATCTTAGTCGCATACTTTCGATTATAGAACTGTACTAAATGAGTCAAAAATTCACATTTTGGCAGTGTCAAATTAAACAAAAAAAAAAAAAAAAAAAACAGATTTTAGACAACCAACGAAATCAAACTTTAAAAGCTTTCTCCTAGTTCCCTTGCTTATATTTGAGAGTTTTTATACTCATTATGAAAAAAATAAAATTAGAGGAATCTTGACTCCCGTACGACACATTTTGCTCCGGATATTTAATTTCAATGTTCGAAATGTTTTATTTTGAATTATTCGAAGTCATGTCGAATAATTTTTCAGTTTTTCGAATTTCAAAATTGAA